AACCCCCCCCTTCATTTTTTCAGCAGGAAGATTTGTGAAAAAGGGAAATTTTTTTTTTTTTTTTTTTTTTTTTTTTTCCATTTACTTGAAACTAATTTTGAAAACCCTTCCTTCAGCAGCACTAAGGTGGTAATAACCCCCACCTCAAAATCTCATAAAACTGTAATTTTTTTTTGCATATCTTTAAAAAAGAAAGAAGCATTTATTGAATATCAAACTTTATTTTAAATAATGTATGTGCATCGTAGATGGAAATTAAGTAATGAATAAGCATTTTAGATTTTGACATACGTTCAAAAATACGTTCCTGAATTATTGAGAAGTTAAAAGTAAAAACAAACAGAAAAAATCTATTAAATAACTCGTGACTGAAGCACCAAATTTGCAGGACAATTAAACTTCTTACTGTGTTTACATTACACAAAATACAATGCTCATTTCCTATTGATTAGATGTGCAAATAAGCACAGAAAAAAGCGGATTCAATCGTCAAAGCTGTGACTGACATCCTGGTAAATGGAATGAATTATATAATTACTGTGTTTTTAAATTTTTTTTTTTTTTTTTTTTTACATAATTGCAAAGATGAAATGTACTCAGTAAATGTGTCAAATAAATATGACTTCAGCTGTTGCACCCTGCCACTCTCCTTCACATTGTCCAAGGAAATCCTTGAAGTGTAATTGTAATCCATCCTTTATGATGAAATATTGAAGCGCAAATGACCTTTAAGTTCAAAACCAAAATGTGTCAGAGTGTTTAACTGTTTTCTAACATGAATACCAGGGATTAGTTTTCCGTTATTGCTTGATGAATAATGAGTGGCACAAGTGTAATGCATTCCCGTGCAAACATTATTGATTTACTGCTCGGCTCAAATCCATTCATAATTCATATTTAAGCCCCAAGCCTGTCCTTGATAGCCCAGAAAATCCCTTTAAGACCCAGGTGGGTAGGCACTTGGGAGACTCACAAGGCTGTTAGCGAAAACTGAAGCGACAGGAAATGAAAAGGGGAGCGAAGTAGCCAATCATCCAACATTCCAGCAAAGGTGTACTAGGCGGTCGTGAGGTCAGAGGTGAGGGCTTTTTGCGTTGCAAGCACAGCTGTGTGCAATGAAGAGAGTACGAAGCTGCCCCAGCATGACCCCCGGAGTCACGGCTTCCACTGGGAGTTACCCATAACACATATGGGCCTGATTCCCACTAGCAGACAGGTATCACGGCAGAACAGAAGGCCCCCTTCTCTCTTGTTTGTTTGTCATATATTAACCTCATCCCAGCTTCAACGTACCCTTCTCATCAGAGATGTGATTGACAAGTCAAAATGCCGACCTCACCAGGAGACACTTTTGGAAAAAGCTATATATGAAAAAAAAAAGTTGTTTGAAAATATAACAAATGAATGTAAAATGTTTTAGCTTTATTATTTTATGAGGCGCCTGGGTATTGTTTGATGTAATGTCTTTAACGTCGCCATTAAATGTACTGAATACTGGCAAGTCGAGACTCAGGAATTAGTTTTCGGTTTCCTTTTAATATATCCTTTTGGCTCCAAAGGCACAACCATTAGCGGAATGGAGTCTCTCTGACACCAAAGACTGATAATGTGTGCCGGGAGACCAAATGCATGATGAATTGCCCGGCTCCCATTTTTTAGATGAGATGCCCTCCAGTCCAAAGACCTTTGACCTCTGGTCACCTCTCATATTGGCTGTGTGTGTGCTTTTTTTGGGAGAGGCTGAACTATGGCGCTTGTTGTCCGGAGTCTTTATTTTTGCCTTGCACGTTGTCTGCATGCCTGCATGTGTAAAAGATTTCAAGATGTTAGTTTTAATTCATTCCCTCTCACCCTCCACCCCGCACTCCCGCCTTCCTCATTAAATACACATTCTTCATTTGGCTTGATGGTAGAGTGCCTGTCCAACTTCTGTCCAGCACAAGGCCCAGGGTTTCAGAAGAGTAATGGGATACACCCACAGAGGAAGCAAGCCTCCATCTGCCAGCACCAGTCAAGCCAGTATCCGTGGCTCTTATGGCAGTCCTTCAACGCGGCAGTTGATTTGCATTCATTTTAACAAATAAACGTTTCTGAAGTCTGTATTCAGACATATATGCAAATCCACTGACAGTAGAAGATTAAACATATGCCCGTATTTACACATTTACCAGGGGGGAGGGGGTGCTTCACTGTATTTATGTTTTTAGTCCTTGTGAGTGTGTGCATATGTTTCTCCACCATCCACCTCCTAAAGTCCCATCTCTCTGAATGTGGGCACAGTGCAAGCCAATTCACTAATAGTCACATCTCTCCCTTTCCTCAGTAACATTACCATAATATATTTTATTTATCAAACAGCCTGACAAGCATGTCTTCTCCCGCCACCTGTTACCGATGCTCTCTCCATGTCACCAAATGCAAACTAGACCTTGGCACCACACATAATTGAGCAACGTGACACATCTTCAAAGCAGATTCAGCAGATGTCTCTCATCTCCCGAGACCTTATCTAAGAGGAATGGATAAATAAGATATAGGTGTACAAATGCGGATGAAGGAGTGGAGGGAGTACAACAAGAAGAACAGGGTGAGAAAGACAGACTGTGGAGCAAGAGAGGGCAAAAGGCAGAGGTGTTACTTCAGGGCACAATGTGTGAGAGTGAAAGTAGTAGTGTGGTTTTGAGTGTAAGTTAGACAGTGTGAGAACCAGAAACAGATATGAGAAGAAGCTATGAAAAAGTAACCATTAAGATGGATTGTTAGTTGCAGCAGAAGAAGCACTCTTGGTCGTGTGTCAGGTTTGAGTAATATAATCAAACTTGAATTTGGATAATGAAATGTTTTGCCTATTTCATCTCAGCTCGTATAAAGAAACAACCCCTTTCTTCAGATTGACTTCATGAAAACCTTAGTAGGAGTTCTGTGAATCACAAATGCCTGTTTTGACATCTGTAGCACTGAAAAGAATCAGGACTGTTACAAAGCTTTGATGTGATGTGTGCAGATGTACCTGCTTACAGCAAAGTTCTAATTACTAACAGCAAGCAAGACCTTCAGATCTCAATCTGTTTTTATGCTCTTTTTTTCTTGTTGTTGAGCTATAAATATGAGAAAGAGTCACAAGTGATCTCCGGTTTTTTTAAACAATGTTCTCACAGAAGGATGTGGTACCTTAATGCCATTACAGGACCAGCGAATTGGATCCAACTGCAAATAAAGTGCCCTGATAGGGAAGAGGCAACTTAACCTGCATTTAATATGTTTAATAATCCAAATTTCTTATGACATTTGTCTTATACAATTCAGCTCAAAATGTCAAATAATGACTAATAATAATAATTAAAAAAAAGCTATGATAATTTGGTTACATTTAGTGTGCCCACCATTAAGCACTGCTTGTTGAACCTTTAAACTCTTGGTCTACTTTGGTAGGAGACTATTGACATGATTCATCTTAACTAAATCCATTTCTTTGTTCACTTCTCCTAAATCATCAGATCATGAGGACACGTCTTGTCAACAACCCTCCTCGCGTGACCTCAAAGATCTTCTGTCAGATTTGGTTATGGGCGCTGGCTGTGACATTCCAAAACTTCCATTCTCTCCAGAGTAAGTAATTCTTTTGACTTGGATGGATGTTTGGATTTTCTCATCTGCTGAAAAAGGAAATCCCTCTGACTATAGCTGCATCGTTAGCTGTCTCTAGCAGTTATTTTCAAAACTAAGTGGTATTTGGTGTTGTCAATAATTCCAGCAAAACGCTGTCATCATGTTTCATGTTTGGTGATGTACTGTGTTGTTCTTGTCCTTGACATCACTTCTGGAATTTAGGGTCAATTTAGCTCCATCAGACTACAATGGACACCCTGGTATTCTCAGATGTGTTGGGGCCACAACCCCATGTGAAAAGTGGGAATCCACAAATACTTGAGAATTCCACTAAAAGTTCAGATTCTGCGCTAAAGTTATTTTAATTCACAGTGACAAAGTGACAGCCATTTGACTAAATACAAATGGTATTTAGTCAAACTGCACTTCAATAAAGTAGTTTTAGGCATGTTCACAGTTAGGTCATTTGGGTTTCATTTTACAATTGTGGCTTGGTGGGATATTTGATAACTTGCTTATAATTGTCTGATTTTCACCTTACAAAAAGTAGAACATTAGCAGTAGTATATATACGCTTTAGATCGACCATATATGGACTTTAACTATGGCTATGCAGCAAATTTTTGACTTTTAAAATGTAATAATTAATTACTTACAATTAGTTACAATGTTTATTCTACAAGATTTTGAGATTTTGATTGGTTTTCTTGAAACCTTAAGTCCTAAACAGAGCGCCAGTGATCCAGGCAAATTTGCAGTGCCGTAATTCTACCACACTTTGCGCTGTCTGAAAATTTTTTACGGTTTCTAAAAGCGGAGACATTGCACTTTTCATCCAAAGTCGGGTTATTATGGTAATTTCACCCATTGTAGCAGGAAGTGAAATTAATCTGAGAGGCACTCTTTTAATAGACGGTAAATTGAGAAAATTACTTGCTATATGTTAAAAGCTTCGGTTGTTATGGATAAATGGGCAAATATATTTACTCACAGGATATTTAAGAACTGCGTACAATTAAAATAAGCAAAAAAATATCCAGGCGGACATTATAAATTTAGGACATAAATTAATCTAACATGTAGATTGCGATAGGTTTCATGAACTAAATGCTAAATGCTTCCACCTATAGCCTTCCCTTTGTTGTTTTAATGAGATATTAAGACCAGGCTTATTCCTAGTGGTGCTTCTCAGCAGCGTCTTGGAAGCTTGCTGGGTGTGAGGAAGAGTAAATTAGTAATTATAAGACTGGCTCACAACTTCTGAGCATGGATAGAGTCAGCAAAATCCTGCTGCTTTCCACCATCTCATTAACAAGCAGTCAGGAATATGGAAACAAACTGAGCATCTGAGGGTGTCTGACGTTACTCCTGGTAGGGATCTAATCAATGAAATGCTCTTCCTCTGGGCGCTGACGAGGTATTAATGAGCTTCCAATGTGAACGAGAGCCAATTATCAGCCTTCAGGAGGAGGAGAAAGAAAAAACAAGCAGTGTTGACATAAAAAAAAAAAAACAGACAGTAAATGCTATTTTTTTGTCCATCAAAAAAACATAAATTTCCATATGAAACATCCATCCATCCATCCATTTTCTGAACACCCTTGTCCCTCAGTGGGGTTGGGAGGGGTGCTGGTGCCTATCTCCAGCTAACGTTCCGGGCGAGAGGCGGGGTACATCCTGGACAGGTCGCCAGTCTGTCACAGGGCAACACAGAGACACACAACCATGCGCACACACACACTCACACCTAGGGGCAATTTTAGACAGACCAATTAACCTAACAGTCATGTTTTTTGGACTGTGGGAGGAAACCGGAGTACCCGGAGAAAACCCACGAATGCACAGGGAGAACATGCAAACTCCATGCAGAAAGACCGGGGCCGGGAATCGAACCCAGAACTGTCTTGCTGCACGGCAACAGCTCTACCAACTGCGCCACTGTGCAGCCCCCATATGAAACAAGTGAGACAAAATCATTCTGTTCAAGTTTCTTGTACTTTAAAAGTTGGATGAACTGAACATCAGAATATGACAAACCTTTCTAACATCTATAAGCAGTTTTAGAAGGATATTTAAAGTCATCCACATTTATTGTCTTTTTTCTCCTAAGTCTGTTAAAGCATCATCATGTTGTTGCTATTTCCCACATATAATGTCAAACAAGAGTGATTTGATTATTTTACCACATTTGTTAATCGCCAATTATAACTTTGCTGTAACCTTGCTGTCCCTCCTGTTGGGGGGACATCAACTGACCCCCCAACAGTCAGTCAGTGCTCTGTCGATAAAACCAGGCAGAGGCTAGATAGAGATAAAAGACTGTATGTTTCACTGCCGTAAGGACAGAGGATAACATGTGTTCATGAGTAATCATAGGCAGAAGCACCAGAAGGCTGCTTATTCTGTATTATTTCTCTGCCTTCAGTTCATATTAAAATGTTGAAGTTAAGTATTGTGAAAGTGTTATCTTTGGAGGGCACAGATAATTCATTCTCTCTAGAGTTAAAGTCCCGGTTCACCCAGTGGCCTGATGGGAGGTGATAAAAGTAACATTGTTCCTTGATTGTGCTGTAAAATGGCAATTTATGCCTGGAAAATATATAATACTGCCCCTTCAATACCGTGAGCACAGGGTGGGCTGATGCCTATCTATCTTCAGCATTCACTGGTTGGAGTTTAACAAAGTGTCAGTTAAATTGGTTGCCCCCCGTGCAGACAGTGAAAGTTACTTTTAGGACTGCAAAGCTCTGGATGTTTCCAGTTTTTGGCTTCTATTTAACTTTTTAATACACACACTAAGCTTGATGATTATATTTAAAAAAAAAACAAATTATCTATTAAGTTGGTAAGACGTTACTGCTTGTTAAAAAAAAAAGTGCAAACAGCAAAGGCAGCAGGCTAGGATTTATCGTAGTCACATTGCTTTAAATAAAAGCATACGATACAATACGATAAGCATCCTGACTCCTGAGTCATACCAGCTAAAGCCGTTGTGGCTTTTGACACCCCCCCCTTCCCATTTAATATAAAACCACAGGAACCATTTAGAGCAACAGAGGATGCACTCGAGGCTGGTAGAATGGTGACGCCTGGCCACATGAAAGCATGCCTGCGTGGCTGTGACTGCAGTGCCAGTGTTTGTGGGTCCTGGAGAGGAATACTAGACACACAACAATGCTCTGAATGTGCTTGAAAAGGACCCATATGCCAGAGTGATAACACCAAGGGTACCATCTGGCTTTTCTTTCTTTTTCTTTTTTTTTTTTTTTTTTGACACTCTTCGTAAAACATCTAATTTAAAGCCACAGAGAAGTTCATGTTGGACTTTTCTGGAATGCACTTAAAGCAGGAAGCAATATAAGTCTGGGGACGTATATTTTGAAATACACAGTCAATGTTTATGAGAAATTCCACGACTCATAGCTTCAAAAAAACATTAATTATGGAGAAGTCATCAGTGTACTTTGTTTGTTGTACTTTATGTTTTTTTTGTTTTGTTTTGTTTTTGTTTTTGTTTCTCCTAATACACATCTGAAAAATGTAAACTTTTTCCCATTCAACTCTTTCTTTACTTGGAGACCAGACCAAAAACAAAAAAACAAAAAAAAAAAAAACACCATTTGTAAAACTGTAAAATGTTAAGATAAAGGTTCTGGGTTCGATTCCCGGCCCCGGTCTTTCTGCATGGAGTTTGCATGTTCTCCCTGTGCATGCGTGGGTTTTCTCCGGGTACTCCGGTTTCCTCCCACAGTCCAAAAACCATGACTGTTAGGTTAATTGGTCTGTCTAAATTGCCCCTAGGTGTGTGTGTGTGTGTGTGCGCATGGTTGTGTGTCTGTGTTGCCCTGCGACAGCCCGGCGACCTATCCAGGGGGTAGCCCGCCTCTCGCCCGGAACGTTAGCTGGAGATAGGCACCAGCACCCCTCCCGACCCCACTGAGGGACAAGGGTGTTCAGAAAATGGATGGATGGATGGATGGTTAAGATATTTTCACATTAGAGAGAGAATGAGAGATTGACTGTATGATAAAAAATATGCAGAGTAATTTACAACGTATTTTGCTATTTCTCTTTTCTCCATCTTCCCCTGGATTAAGAGATTCTGCTCAGTGTTTATCAATTTAAAAGTCAAATCACTATCAGTGAAACTTAATTAGACTTGTAGATGCAATAGAACCGAAGTATCTCAATGTTTCTTTGTTGAATAAATGCAGACTATTAAGCCTAAAATATTTAATCCAGTGTTGTTCAAAGTTGGTCCTCAAGGGCCCGGATTGTGCATGTTTTAGTTTTCTTCCTGGTTCAACACACCTGGATTAAATGGTAGCTTGTTAGCAGGCCTCTGCAGAACATTGACATGCTGAGGCAGTAGCTACCACCAGGGAGAAAACTTTTAAAACATGCAAAAATACCGACTCTAAAGGACTGACTTTGAACAGCACTGCTTTAATCAAAGGAACTGGACAAAGTACAGAAATCCATATTCTGTCAAGCAAAATTTGTGTTTCACTTACTTATTGCAATTCAAACAACTCAATTAACTTTATTTATGTAGTAACTGAGGTCAGTCTCAGTCTGAAGACCACTTTTTGATGGTCTCCGTCTCATCTCGGACTCGACCGGGTTTGTACTCAGTCTTGTCCTGACCTTAGACATTGAGGATTCTGGATTTCACTTCAAAACCATTCCAGACCACAAATGTCTAAATTGCTTTTTAATATGAGGGACATGGACAAATATCATTGCTAATCCTTGCACGGTTGCTGGGAAATGGTGCCTAAAGTTGGAATTTTTGCCATGAACTGTTGTAATGATATTTTTACTGTCATTGATCCGCCCTTATTAGTTGTGTATAAGACACTGGTGAATTAATAGTGGATTTTTGGCATATCCACTATTTATTCCATCTTACTCTGAATTCTCTGGTTGCTTTTGTGGCAAGGTTTTGTGTTTGACTCTGGTTGTTTTTGTTATTAAAAAGTTATTACTGTCCTTTACAA